AAAGCCGTTTTCACCACAGAGGCACAAACCCACACACTGAAGGCTTCAAAACTGTAAGTCATTATCTGCCTTCTATACACAGCAGTGCTGCAAACCCACAAAGTTTGTGTGTCTCATTAATTGGTATTTTGCTCTCAAAAGCAAAGAGGAAAACGTTCAAAATTCTCTAATAACTAATACAACTAAAGAGAAATCTGAGGAAAACAAACAAGAACGAAAACACACTTTATATAGACCTGTAACAGACAGGGAGTTGAAGCCCTCAGTATAGGATGGGTGCCCAGGCAGCAGTAGCACTGAAACTAGGGGTGCTCAGTAAGTTAAACTCCTGTCTTTTAGGATGCCATGAGCCAGCAGCATCTTTAGCCTGGCGGTGGCAATACCACGTGGCCTTGGAAGACAGGTTTGTGCCTGCTCTGCAACACAGGGGTCCAAAGAGATTTAAGTCCAGAATCAGGATTCCCAAAACTCCTCACAAACAGCAAACAGCAGCCTCAGGGGTTTGCCAGTTAAGACTTTCAGCCAGCTGTCTGCAGTTCTGCTTTTCTCTGTGTCTGGAAGTGGCCAAGGCTGGGATGGAAGCTCCACGCTGAGGGCTCATCACCTAAAAGCTGAGCCCTGGAGGAGGTGTGTGCTGGAGCAATGAATTCTTCCAGGACTCTCCACTAGACTTTCTTTCCAGATTAATTTCTTCTCAATTTATTCTTCTTACTGTCTGTCACTCTCCCATAACGTAACCTCTTTCAAGGTTGTTACTTACTGTAAGCTAGAAAATTTCAGTTTACTATTTCAAACAAATTGTGTTTTATTTTTCATAGCAGTGACAGGAGGTTTAAAAACACCTGGCAAAACACGAGCGAATCAGGCTGGTTTCAGTGGCAAAAATTACTTTAGCTACACTCTGCTCAACTCGGCCCTGAAGAATTGGCACAGTTAAGAACTAGTGAGCTGGACTAATTTTTATTTTGTGAGCCAATGTAATTGACGGCTAAGTGCCAATCAGTTACACTTCTGCAAACCCTGCACAACAGGAGGAGGAGCCCAAATTCAAAGATATCACGGTGACACTGGCCAAGTTTATCCTTCAAAGTCTCAGCAACAGGCAAAGAAGGGCAAGAGCCCAAATACTTCAGGTCGATCATGCTGACCTGGTAGTTAGAAACACATTTCTAATTGTTATCTGAGCGTCTTTGACACACAAATGGAATTGTAATTTCCCAGCTAATATGGAAGTAGAACCACTTCTTTCCTCAATCTGCTAGACAGCCATAACTTCTCTCAGACTTTTTGCACCATGCATTTGACATGTCTGCCCTCTCTTTGCAAGCCATTTGCAACTGCACCTATTCGACAGGACATTTACTGAATAAGCTTATTAAAAGTAAATTAATCCTAGTTCTACCTAGGTACAGAGACCACTTGGAAAGCAATCTGCCTATTAAAAAAGGGTCACCTGACTCTGCTTTCCAGCTTCTGCAGGTTCTTTTGACCGTTATACGTCACACTACTTCCCTGATATGAATACTGCCTACAAAAAGACGCAAAGGAAATACCGATTGAATTCTCTCTGTGGGATCCACAACCTTCCACATCTATGCCCCAACTGATGGACGAAAGTCACTCATGAAAACGTCTGGATGCTGAGAATGTCTTCTTGTAAAGATCACAAAGCAAGTGAAAGCAGCATTAACTTACCAGCGTGGAGGTTTCTCTGCATACAGCACTGAGGTGGGGTGGATATGAAGTTCATGGTCATCACGGATAGTCCTTGAAAGCAAGACACTATTTCAGACCCTGTGTCTATTTATTGCTTACCATTTGGTTCCTTTCATCCCCAGTAAGAATGTTTAATAGAAGGCAACAATGAAAGAGCTGGAGTAAATGAAAAACATTTGCATTTAATGAACAGGCTTTCAGATGAAAGCAGCCTTAAATCTTGGCCAAAGGAAGAAATGATAATGTAATGTCCTAAAAGAGTTCTATCTCCATTAAACGAAAAAGGAATCTTTCAGGGGTTTATTCAGTGCACTGGGAATGCTACAACAGAGACACTGTACTCACTTGTATTACCACAAGCTGCTTACTGTTAGTGACACCTTCCTACTATCAATAACTCTGATTATTTGTATTTGCCAAAGAGAAGAGATGAACATGGAAGCAGTTTGAAGATACAAAACTTCAAATATTTAGTAAATCAAACTCTATGTATTTGTTATTGCAGGTGTCTAGAGAAGCATCTGTGTGTTGACTACGCTTAGATGCATCTGGTCAAAGGAGCTTTTAAACTAAGCAACAGTTATAATGAAGATATTGATTGATAGATAGATAGACAGACAGACAGACAGACAGATAGATAGATAGATATTTACCTATAAGCTCCAGTAGAGTGGAATTTAGCTGCGTTCGCAAAGAATCCAGAAACTATGCATCTCAAAACGGGATCTGGATCACCTGAAGAAAAGAATTTTTATGTAAAATGAGTCAATGGAATGGCAAAAATCCCTAAAATGCCACTTAATCATCTCAAACAACTTTTCACACTGCATCAGGCTTTGACAGCAAAGGCTTGAAGGCAGGCAAACCCTGCAATCTCTTTTGACTTCAATTTCACAGCAAATCAAAATTACTACGTAAAAAAGTACTGTTGCCACCAGTGTCACCATGAAGACAGTTTCACAGTCCTTAAAGCAACCTTGTGTGACAGCTAAGCACAGGTCTGATTTTTCAGAGCAGTTAGAGACAAGTGCTGAGAAGTAGTCGTGGCATCCGTGCACACACAGCATAGCTGGAAATCAGATCCCAGTGACTGTACATCATTCTGACCATACTAGAAAACAGCTTTATGAAAAGTCAAAAGAGGGAATAAGGTGACCTATTTATGACTCTTTTGTAAGTCTGTCCATTAAATATGTAACTAGTGGTGACAATCTCTTGCTGGAAAACTTAACTAATGAAGACTGGACTAAATGTTAATTGTAAAAATGGGCTAAAATGCTCTTCTGCAGTCATTTTTAGGAAAAAAAAATCTGTTTTTAATTAATATTACTTTTAAGCCAGGAAGAAAATATTTCAAATGTTACAAAGAAAGCAGGAAGCAGACTGACAATTTGGAGACTACCTTCAATGTGTATTGGACAACAGGTTAAAAAAAAAAAAAAGAGAGATTTTTCACCTTCGCTGGACTTCTTTGGCACTTTAAAGCGGACGAGAAGCTTTTTCAGCTGCTCTCTTACAACTGAAGCTCTAACAAGCCCTTTGTAGTTCAGAAAGTGTTCCTGACACCACTGAGAGCTCTTGCTGTGCTGTATGGTGAGAAGAATAGAAAAAATTACAATGAAATTTCATCAGCAAAACAAAACACAATCTCTTGGATCATGTAGCCTTGTTCTGTTTGTATTCTGTCTCCTACAACATATTTATGGTGGTTTTCCCTAAAAATTACCTATTTACATAGCAACCAACAAGGGTACGTAACACCAGTAACTATAACATGTTTCAAACAACATTTAAACAGCAGCAGAACAAATGCCACAGGGTATTTTCACACAGATGCGCTTCAGTTCTTCATGTGGTGAAAGAGAAAAGCACCAGTCATTCCATTCTCACACACAAAAGCATCGTATCATAAACTGGTCTGTTTTCAATCTCAAAATGTAAACAGCCTTTTCTGTACACCGTTTTCACTCGTTTTCTCTGTGCAAAGAACCGTATCTCCAGAAGCCAGCACTTACTCAAAGAGCCTCTGCAGTTGGCCATTTCTAAGACAATTAGTCAGATATAAAATTTAAATGGCAAAATTTCAGTTGGTGCCTGACTGATTGCTTTGGGGTTGGGGAGAGGGAAGTCGTCTTTCAAACCCTTGAGTGGCTATACCGCTTCAACTCAACACTGCTGCGAATATATTATTACCAAAGTGCTTTATACACCTCTCCCGAATAGGTATAGCACTTCAAAACCATCAAGTAAAACCTCAACTTACACAGAAGTATTAAGATTGGTGTTGAACCTTAGGGTAAATACATAAGGTCACTGAAAAAGAGGATATGATGATCAATGAGGCAATTGTTTAAAAAAAGACTGCTAGATCTAGATGCAGTTCATAGTCAGCAAAACTCTAAGACATCTATAGAAAAGATGAGAGAAAATGAATTTCATCTGGAATTTGGATACCTGCTTTTCCTAGGCTCTTTCAAAAATGCCAGTCTCTTTGAAAGTACAGTTGTTTACCCATAAGACTTCCGTGCTGTACCCAAACCAAATTCTTTCTATTCCCTGTTTAAAAGAACTACAGAAGGTCTGTGGCAAAATATGACCAGAATATCTTTTAAAAACCAGCCTTATCACTTGGTAAGCCCTCAGCTTTGAGGATGCTTTACCCAGAACTTCCAGAATCAGAACTGAGGACCTCAAGTGTTTCCCTTTCCTGCAAATCCACATACACTTACTTTGACAAAGGCTTCATAAACATTAAGCATAGTGAGATGATCACCTTCTTCCACAGCAAACTTTCTGTGTTGCCTGGCCTGGAGAAGAAGAAATATATTTTTATATGCAGACGGCTTTTTGCAAAGATCATGTCCAATATGCTCAGTTCCCATCATCTCTGTATTTCCTGGTGACTATTGAAATTCTTACCATATAGGGTAGTTCCTCTAGGCAACAGCAATATTTTACTATCCCACCTATATTCAGGAGCACTTCTAAAACTGAAATTAGAAAAATGAACTGAAAATGAACCCCCAAAATCCAAGACAGGGATGCATTAAAATTAGGCTACTGGTACCTATTAAGAATTTGCTACATCCTAATACCTTCTTTTTTGTTCCTCTTGAAGGAAGTGGTGTTTGGGGAGGCTTGGCTCTTTTGGCAGCCCTTACACTGACCAATACTGGTTTATAACCTTTCATGTTTCTGGTCCTCAGAAGGAGGCTTTAAACACCAGTAAAGGATTCCAAGGTTCCCCCTGTTATTCAGTTTCTTCTTTTACCTATAACCAACAGGTACAGCTCGAGACTTTGCTTCATTTTCATATAAACTTGTGTCTGTAACAGGTATCAATAAAATACTTGGCAGAAATCCAGAAATGTGGAACTAACAAAAAGAAAATGAGACATAACTGAACTTACAGCCTGAGCTTTTTGATTTGGAGGGATCACAAAAATGTTTTGAATCTGCATCATGGCAGCAATTGTCAAAATCTCCTGGGAGCAGCCAAAATTTCCTGAGGAGTAAGTGCAGAAATTCAGTAAAAGAAATCTTCCATTCAACTTACGCCCATAGAGAATAAAAAGAAAAAGAAGCAGAATTCATTTTTATAGTATATAAAAACAAAATACCTGAACTCCTGATTTTTTTAGTATAACAGTGAATGTTTTTACTGGAAAACTTAAAAGACAAATGCATTAGACTTATTATTTATCCGAGAGGTCCAGGAGTTTAACCAATTCTTTTCACCAAACACCTTACCAAGATGAAGCATACGGTTTGTTTCAAGTTTAGCAAACGTCTAATGCTACACTACAAGAGGCAGTGTCCTCTACTCATCACAAGACTATGAAGAAAATCTGATTATTTTTTTTCCTACCTGATTCCAGAAGCATCTTTGCAAACATAGGATTCAAAGGAAACTCTGCTATTCTCATTCCAAGAGGCTCTGTTAAACGGCAGTGCATATCCAAACCTGCAGCACATTAAGAAATGTAGCTGTGAGACACAGGCAACATAGCACAGAAAGTTTCCTTTAAGAATTTAACATGTACTAAAGAGCAGAATTACGAGATGAAATGTAGCAAATGCACCTATAGGTTGCTGAATGTATATTAAACTAAGCTTAAAGGCACTCCTCAATATCCATTTACTCTCCCATGGGTCACCAGTATTTTTTTTTTCCAAGCATAGGTGAACACACAAGTTTCTTCATTTTGACCAAGATCCTTTGCTACGGCCAACGATTTAGAAAACATGCCGTCAAAGACAATGCAATGGCCAGAGTACTACTTCGCTGTTAGACTTCTGCATCTCCTTTTAAAGTATTTAGCACCACCTTTCATGGGGGAGAATCACAAGCTGACCTGAAGAGACTAAAAAAAAAAGGGCATAATTATGGAACAGGCATAATTGTAGAAATAGGAAGCACTGCTGGGGGGTGTGGAGGGGTGGCAGGGTTTCATTTTTCTGAGTCACAGCTGCTTAGGTCATGAAGAAAAACAATTTCACTTTAATACAACGTAAATTAGAGATGTACAGCTGATGAAGATTCTCCACAGCTTAGTCTGCCTCATGCGTCAGTAACTAAACTGCCAGCCACGTTCCAACTGTAAGGTTTTTACCAGAGACAGCACAGCAGGTAGGCACGACGGCTTGCTTTTGCATTCCCTGTTATCCCTGCACAAGGCTGCACGCTTACCATTTCAGTTGTACGGCTTCCTACAGTCAAACACCTGCAGTAAGGTTTACCCATGCAAACCACCAGCTCATATTCTAATCCAGAGTGCTATGCTGAAATTTCAGGGAACAATTTCAATGGAAAAGTATCTCCTTTGCAAGAGAACATAATAGAACTAAAAAAAAAAGAATAAAGATTCAGGAAACAATAAGAAGAAAAGAGCTCACTAAGAAAGGCAGCAAAGAGTGCAAATTGAAAGAGAAAATGGCAAGTAAGCCAAGTTGTATGAGGTATGACAAGAAGGCAGAGCACAAGAGAAAAGCTACACGAGGGACTAACAAGAGCCAAATAATAGGACTTTGGGGCAGTGTAGATTGCATAAATAACCACAGCAGAGTGGACTGAGGAAACACATCTGTGGCCCATGCATTATATCAACATCTTCTTTGTCAAACTGTGTGGTGGAAAAAAAGCAGTTATACTTCAGCAATGTTTCACAGAGAAAAGCAAACCCACAAATCATGTCAAGGAATGAGACCTCATATAACTCATGCCAGCATACCTAAAACCTCATATACCTCTATCAGGTGTTTACTTTCCTTTATCATTTGATATGCCATCATCTCACTTATTACGACAATGTAGTAAGTCACTCACCACACCCCTACACTGCTCAACAAAACCTAATAGGCATTTCACATAATGTCACAATATTTTCCTCAGAAACAGTCACAAAAGGCAGCTTATGTGAAATGATGAAGTAAGACATTTAAACAGTCACAGAAACTGTAAAAATTGAAGTATGATAGCTTTCATTTGATCAGTGCAAAAGAAGAAGTTTAAGTGCTACCATAGTTAATAGCTTAGAACATGGTCTTTCATCTACAGAAAGACAACCGCGTTCCCAAGCAGGAAAAAGGAGAAATTACCATCTTTTGAACTTCTACAGGTGCATCAAGCCCAAATCCTTCAGCTTCTGCTGAATCCTACAAATCTCAATGCAATTTTGCACAGATGTGTGTATATATATATGTGTACACATAAGCTTGTGCACAGATGTCTTTGTAGCAGTAAGCCTGAATACACACAAAAGGCCTGCAATGGATACTAGTTTGGAACAGGTAAAAATTTCCTTGACATAATCTTCAAAGGAATCACTGTATCCATATATATATATAGGAAATTGGAAATCTTAGAAAAAGATAACTGCAAAGATTTTTATTGAACATGCTCAGCAGAGATTGTTCAAGTACTGCGGCACTAAAGTTTCAAGTAACAACCATTAGTATGTGATGGGCCGAGGGATTAAAACACTGTTTTAAACTTAGGTAGAGTGGTCATTTCTGATAGGTGACAATTTACAAACAAATGTTCAACAAAACCTTGGATCTGAAATAAAGCTAAACATAAAGCCACTTTTTACCTGCTTATTTACCTCCTAAGTTATGCTTCAAAACAGTAAACTCCAACTGACAACTCAGACTTTCAAAGCAGCAGCAAAGGAGAATGCTGAGAAGAGATACTCCTGATTTAATCAGTTTGCATCACTGTGAAAATAATCAGTCTAAAAACAGCGCTGTGTTTATTCAACAGAACTATCTCAACCTTAAGAGAGCCTACTCTGCAAAAGCTTCTTTGTTGGCACCGCACTAGCACAATAGGGTCCTGACCCCAAAGTGCACACTTGCATGCTGTTACAATGCAAATGATGAAATACATGTTCATACTTGCATAAGGGAAATTTAATCCTTACTGCACCTGCAAACGCTTGGGCAGCTTCACCTCTGCAACTTGTACAAAATCTCCATAATAAACCACTTAAAACCTTAAACTTCAGCAAAAATTGAAGAGCAAATCCGCGTATCACACACATGCACACACGTTTCTTTCCATTTTGAACACCAGCCTCAGCACTTCTCTGCTTTGCTACAAAAGCTGGGCCGCCAAGAGAGTAACAGCTCTGTACTTTTCTGTGAAGCTACCATGAGCGTAACAATTCTGCCAACACATCAGACAGCTAATCAGTGAGTTTATTGACCTTTCCTCTCCATTTCCCTAGGGTGGTTTTGGCTGTGAATTCATCTTTGCAACATGCTTCTGAGCCACTGGTCCTTGTTCCAAGCTTGAAAAGGTTGCCAAGAACCACGTGCCTCCTTTGCAAGATGAAACTGAATCAGCACAGAGCAAAATCATGGCAAGCAGAGAGTTACAGCTCCATGAGAATAAGGAGAGCAGACTGCCACAAATTACAACACAGCATTTGCAAGTGATGTAAAAACAGCCACAAACGTCTAGAAGCTTCCAAAACTTACACAATCTCCTTCACACTACGCTTTTCCTCATGTTTACATTATGGAGCAAATATTGTTAACTTTGAATTAACTACAAACACTGTGCTAAAGTAAAACAGAGATTCATTTTGATTACTTGTTCTTGCATCAAGTTTCTGTTTTGTTTAAGTTTGTTGCATTCAGAAAGATCAAATAGCTGTCAAAAAACTCAACAACATAACAGTTCTTCCTATAAACAAGATTAGACAGCGTACATTCCACTCCCCACAAGAAAAAGGAATTGAAAACTGTGTACAAAAATATTGCTACAGTGTGATTTGAGCATTATAGGAATCCCACAGCAGCATAATGAATAAAACCAAACCAAACCAAACACATTTAGAATGCTAAGTTATCTCAAGTTGGAAGGGACCCACCCACAAGGATCATCGACTCCAACTCTGAGCTCCTCACAGGACGACGTAAACTAAACCATATGACTAAGAGTGTTGTTCAGACACATTTGAGAACAAGCTGTGATTACTAATTCAAAAAACGTAATAAAAAAAATATTCTATTAAGTAACTAAATAGTAGAAAAGTACTTTGAATTCTGCTCTCAGGGTCTGTTACACTAGCTATTTCTTCTTTTCATTAGAAGTTTCTGTGTACCTGTTCATTTGTCCACAACCAGAAGGTTCAACACTAAAACTAGAGCAGACTCTCCTCACAAGCTGCACACAAACGAGCTCCCATGCACCTGAAAGCACGAAGAGCCAGCAGGCTGTGCGCTGCGACACGGACACGGAGTGTGAGAAACGCAGCTCCAGTTCACCCGGGAGGAAACGTGCTGCTTTAGGAACGATCACGGCTGCATCACGTAGTCACAGCTAATAGACTCAGAACAGTCTGACTTGCTCCAGGTTTGATCTTTGTCTCAGCTGCAGGACCAACACTAACATCAATAGCGCTAGCACTTCTTCTGTTACCCCTGTAACATAGCTATAAATAAAGCAAAGCATAGTATTCTCACCTCCTAAAGCATACAGCAATTCTAAAGCTTGCACCATTGACTGTGCAGGAGGTGGCTGTGAAGAAAAAAAATACGCATTGTTTAAAGTCATCATCATAGAACACACGAGTTTTCACAAAACTTCTTAGATCTTCCTCTTTCACAAAACCCTTAAGTTCTAGCTACCTACTATTCTACTTAGGCAAAATGAAGAAAGAGCTCTGACTCTTCCTCTCGCCCTTCCACTGACCACCAGTGCTGCGAGTCAAACCCCATTTCAACAGGCTGAGCATCATTACTACGGTGCTCTTAAGACCCGAGCATGCTTTGTCCAACAGTGATGCCAGCAGGGATCAGAACAATTACTTAACTTTCTCTTCTAATGCTACCATGAGAGTTTTTCAGATCAATGTGAGTAGCTAGAAACTTCACAGAAACCAAATCTAAAAATTGAAACTGCTATTTTTAACAAGACAGACAAGCACAGGTTTAGTTCTGCAGATACTTTTTTTTTTTTCCCTTTTTCTTCATAAATTCAGTGCAAAGGGACTACAGATACAGTTTTGCAGAATCTCAGAGCTTGTCTGTCTAGGTCTTTCTCAAGAAGAAACACTTCTAACAGCAAACTCAAGAATATAGTCATCGTTTCTAAGTTGTCACACACATGACTTGCACTGGCTGATTCCCAAAAACATACTTTGCTGCCCGATAGTGCACAACGAGTTACGCTTTCCAAATGAAGGGGGTTACTGGTTAATGGTTCTGCGGGTTATCAACAAGTCATCTACGGACCTTTCCTCGCACAAAGGAAAGGACTGACTTTACAGCCTAGGACTCACCGAAAGAAAGGGGAACCTGAGCACATTGTCAATTCCCAAAGCCTTCAGCTGCAAGATGACAGGTGCGAGGTTACTGCGCTGCATCTCGGGAACCGTGGACTTCGGCAGCTTCTCAAAGTCCTCCTCTGTGGTGGAGAAAACAAAGCAATTCGGGACTGAGTTTCAGTTCCCACTCCATGCAGTCAACACGATAGAATCACCCCCATTTCAAGTTAAAATTACCACGTAGGAATACTTAAGGGGTGTTAAAAGAACCCTAACTCAAAGATGACCTTTCTCCAATTACTGCATTTTAAGATCCTTTAGGTTAAATAGAAAATTTGATGGGTTTGGCTACACTGCTGATTCTGTAGTTGACCTACCCATATTTTAATTTGAAATGTTATAAATTCTTCACAGAAATCTGGAAATGCTTTATTTCTCTTGTGTTTAATATTTTTATCAGAAAATAAAAGGCAGGGTGCAACAGTACAAAAAAGCTTGCCTTTTTTTTTTTTTAAGAAGGGGCATGGAAAAGTTCAAAACCAGCATGCTTTCAGTATCAGAACACTATTTTTAGTAACTACTCAAACAACAGGAGGTTTAAAAAGCATATTTAAAATGAAGACTAAGGACTGAAAAATAATTTATTTAACAATGCCTTTTTAAAAGCATGTTCACTTTTAAAAAGTCTAAGTCTGGAAAAATACTTTGCATGAGGTCAAAATCCCCGCACCTTCCATTAACCAACGCTTCTGCAGTAAAGACAAAAGGTACACGCAACCTTATGTTGATCTAAAACTCCAAATAAAGACAATACATTATTTACATTATTTTCACCTGAATTATTTTAGACAATCCTGTTTTATCTCTGCTCTATCTCAGATGTTCCCCAAGAGAAAAACAGTGTACGTTTTTTCTACTTTTGTCCTCTCACTGCACTTTCTTATTTTCTTTTTTTTTTTTCCCTCTTTTAAAATGTTTCTTAAAGCACTCATTAGACCAGCTCTTGAGCACACACAAATAACTTCAGCGTAGTCATGATTTCTCCAGTAAAATACTTAAAAAGCTATGTAAGCTTGGTATATGATGCAGCAGACATTCTCTCCTGATTCTTATTGGACACGTAAATTTATAGAATAAACCATGTCTCCGTTTAACGTGGCAACTGCTGGCAAGCACACACACATTTTGAAAGAATATGCTTGATCTCTGTAAGTCTCAAAGCTCCTGTAAAACTAGAGGGAACCTGAGGCACATGAACAACGGCAGTGCCTAACAGCAATGCCTTTTCTCATTAAACAGCTGAGAACAGACACAGTCGGATGGCGGCTTTCTGAACGCTGGTAGGTGGCCAAAAGATTTACAGTAATTTGTGTAATTTTGTTTATGTAGTTTTTGTACAGCACCAGGGTCATTGATTCAAGGGAAGCATTTGGGGTTGGCACCTATCCTATGAAAAAAGGGACACAAAGAAGTTTTCCCTTGGTTACCTAAAGGATTTACAGAGCCTAAAGGAGACTTTAGTCAGAGAACAGAGCATCATGGCGGGGATTAGAAAGTGAAGCAACTGCTCAGAAACCAAGATCATAAAGAGACAAAATTCTTGGTAGAGTCGCCAGAGCTGCATTAACATTACAGGTTTGCAACTGCTGACAGTCCCGTAGCACCTACCCTGCTCAGTTTGTGCTTCTGTTTCATAAAAGGATTCAGTGTCCAACGCGTAGCACATATGAACAACGTATTTCTAAACAAGCCAGATGGATAATGAAGTGAAATTTCTGTCTCTCACTGAGAGAAAAAAACCACCGCTTTTTTTGTTCTGTATCTAACACTAAAACCACTGTAACACAAAATGCAACTCACACCAGCAAGTTCACTTCCCTAAACGTGGGATTACTGACCTGTATAAAGTCTGTAACATTTTCCGGAGCGGTTCCGTCCTGCACGCCCTGCTCTCTGATTAGCCGAAGCTTTAGATACCGGTACCACCACAAGGCATTCGATGGCTGTTTTGGGGTTATAGGCCCGGAGCTTCACAAAACCACAATCGATTACAAATGCAATTCTGTGAATTGTGATGGAGGTCTCGGCAATGTTGGTGGCTACTATCACCTACAGATACGGACACAATGAGGATAATGCTGTGAACGCCCCAATCTCAACTACACCATCAAGCCTTAGCACCAGTGAACCAGGACTCCCAATACACGCCACTCGAAAGATCTCAGATCTGACAGTAACACACTCTAGGGTAGAAAAAGGGTACAGTACATGCAGCAGAAAGAGCTGTCAGCTTGAAATAAGCTCACTTTTTAGAGCTTCACAACCACTTTCTTACTCAAATTTATTCTCTCTTCATAAAAGAAGAACTTGGCAGTGTTTGCAGAGAAAAATCATTGGCACTGTTTGCAGACAAAATCACTAACTGACCGTATATCAATGTTCTTACATAGCAAACTAAACGTATTTTCTTTCTGCTTCTCAGTTATATTGAACTGTTACTTGTGACACTGGAGCGAGGCAGGGGATAGGAGAGGAACAGAGTTGAGTGAGCCTTCCACGTTCAGTATTCCTGCAGAAATACACTTATATCTATGTCCTAAAACATTAAAAAATAATTGTTCCCAGATGACAGAGGGAAATTTAATCCTTATTTCACCTGAAATTAGAAAAGTAAATCTTGGAAGTTAATTGACTAACGTCATAACCTGGAGAGAAAAGAAATATTTATACTCAATGTTCTCCAACACCAGATGAACAATTTGACTTGTTAGACTCCAGCAGGCACAAGAATGATAACAAGCCACCCCTGTGTAATTCTGCCAGCTTATCTCAGCCTCACACAGGTTCCACCTAAGCAGAAAGCACTAACCACGGCCAATTATATACTTGTGACATTAAATATCTGAACAAGACTTGCAGAAGTCGAAACAAAGCTTTTTTTCTACTAAAACCAAGCAAGTTTTAACTTGTTTCTTAGGTGAAAATATAGCACTTGACCACTCTGTCACTAATTTTTCCATTACTGGTGGTAAACAGCCGTAGACACTTAGACCACCAAAAGAAATAAAACCAGGTAAAAGTAGATGACTTCAGAGTGTAAGAAGGTGCAACTGGATGTAGACAAATACAAGGTTGTAGAAAGACTCTTAAAAAAGTGAGAAGTTGGTAAGGTAGACAAGAGTTAGGACTGACATGTCTAGGACTAATCAAAGATGAAAAGGGAAGCCAGAAAACATGTTCTTGGTTCCCAGCTGGAAAACTGGCAGGCAGTGTGAGGCGGGGCAGACAGTGCCCCTCAATAAGCGTTTGCAATAGCCTCATGATGAGAACCCGATACATACAATCTGTAACGCAGGCACCCTGCTGGGTGGTAGCGATCGAGACACATGCCTTACCTTCCTGACACTGTGAGAAACTCTCTCAAACACTTTCATCTGCTCAGAAGAAGGCAGTCCAGCATACATGGGGAGAACGCGGAGGTGTTTTTTCATTCCAGTGCGAGAAAGGGCCCGAGCCTGCTCTATGAGCATAGACACAACAGTCTCCACTTCCTCCTAGAGTCAGAGCAAGACAGGAGACAGAATGAGAGAGGTTTCACTTTACTGTCACATAGCTATCACCTATATAGAAAAAATGCACCAAAATAATATCATTTTAATTGTTCAAACTCCAGGATCTTTGGACTAGCTCCTTCAATTCTGTAATATTCTTCATAAATTGCTATTCACAATAAATATATATTTATATAAATATTTATGTTTGTTGTTATTTGAGACGATGTCACACCACAAATACATGAGCAAAATCACAGGGAAGGACCGAACAAAGCTCAGGAGGAAGCAGGCATATATTCAACTTGTGAGAGCAAAATCGGAGGCCAGTCTATTTTGACAGTGCAGAATGCTGTGGGTCTTGATCAGCAGTGACACGGTAACAGCATTAACACCTATTGCTCAACTTCACATTTCATCGCAGAGATCAGCTGTGCCATCTCACTCTTGAGCACAGACAACAGAATGTTCAGACATCACCTCACGAGCCAGCCAATTCACCCTTCCAAAGTTAAATCAGTAACGGGGATGAAGAATTTCTTTTGAAAATATGCAAGATGTTACCGAAGCTCTTCAAGGTAGCTCCTCACTGGAAAAGTGGTAAACTACCTCCCATTTACTCTTTTCAGCTGCAAAGTGAGCTGACAGACATAAACAGAGCAGAAGAGACTAGTAAATTTTTATCCCATAGCAATTTGTTTTTCTGTCAAAGACTTCAGATGTTAATCCCAACAAATACAAATTCCATTTGCCTTAACAATGACTCACTGTCAATTTTAAAACTTTGTAGGTGTGACTAGCACCAAAACCCCCCACACTATTCCACTTATCAACAAGGCTGAAAGCGTACAGCATTAAACGAGAAAAACCATCATCCATCACTAGCTTTGATAAAACCAGGCCATACATTTTCTACAAGTCTTTGGGACTGGCCTAACTGTGCTCTCATCAATGCAGAAATGTTTGTCATCTTTAATGAGATCAAAGTAAGCACAGCTAAGGAAAGCAGGAGACCGAGGCGGCTTCGCAAAGCACAAAAAAGGCTCATGTCTATACCTGACCAGTTAAAAACGCCAGTATATCACCATCATTCTCCATCTGGTGAATTTTCATTGCAGTTTCCACAGTTGATTTTATATAGTCTGGAACAGGACTACGGGGAGAGAAAATAGCAGAGACATCAGCAGAAAAACAGGTACAGGCTCCTCACTCCCAGAAGGAACAAAGACAGCGCTAGCTTTTGGACACTACACATCAGTCATACCACATTTATTTCATGGCGCACCCTTGGGAATCAGCCTTCAGCAATCAGCCTTCAGCAAGCTTAAAAACAAGTCTGCTGCTACAAGCAATATCCAAATGTTTCCCAAATTGAATGTTACACCTCCTCACCATTGGTCTGGGAATTTCTGAGCGCTACCCTAGACAAAAACGATACCACAGCTACACACTCTCCTAATCACCACTGACAAAATCAAACAGGAACATACCTCTGTATGTAAAAGATGTCCACTGGAAACGTTCTCCCCTCGACAGTAAGGATCACGCTGGTATCTTTGCTGGGGTCACCGGTATCATTTTGATTAAAGAAATCCCTGAATTTCTACATTAAAATAAAAACAAACACTTTCAGTCTGATACTTCTAAGAGTTGAGGGAGAAACCTAAAGACATGAAGAAGTTAAATTACTGATTTGCTGTAGAAGTTTTGGGTAGGGCTTGCATATTCTCATCCATTTTTGGATGAGCAAGTAAATTTTACAGCTCTTACTGAACACCAAGATCTAACTTTGTAAAAGCAGAGTTTGGCTGATTTATGTAAGTTTTGATTTATGTGTTGCGAGACACCTTCAGAAATTTAGACGTATTGCCATGAAGTATTTTAAATATGTCATAGCAAAAGAATGAATATTAAGAACCCTAATAATCCATCTCAACTTTTATGACCATTATAGTGATACCATAAGCCTTCTGTATTTAAACAAATGTTTATATAGTCGTACCAATCATTTTGCTCCTATTAACTTATTTTTACATTAACTGTAAACTGTTTGAAACGAGTGATTTCTGGCAGGTAAGAGTTTGCAAAGTATTGCAGTGTTATCTAACATAACATACAGAACACTCAGCAGCACAAACAATACCAAAGCACAGCATACTATCAAGATTTGTGGCATATGATATTTGCCACTAAAGGAAATCTCAGTACATCGACATCTTCAGTGCTACACGCGAGCTCTCACCACCACACCTCAGGAAGGACACAGTGGAGTAGGAAAAGGACAGAGAAAAGCAATGAGCATGACAAAGGAGATGGAGTAGCTGCCTTATGAGGAGAGACTGAATAGGCCCCGGACCTACTTGGGGAGCAGAAGGTTGAGAAGACACACAGCAGAGGTTTACAGAATCAGAGGTGACAGATAAAATAAATGTAAATGGGTTTTTGTTTGTTTTTTTTTAAAAAATCCCACACTACTAGCACTGGCAGGTCCTTGATGAAACTAGCAGGTTTAAAAGAAATTCAATAAAGTGCTTCATTATATAGCAGGTGGCAAACTTCTGAAAATTGCTCCTGCATGATGTCCTGGAGACTTACAGCTTCCGTCTGCTTCATCAAGCAGATTCAAAGAGAAGTTAACAAACAGCAGGTCCATAAACACAGACTAGAAGGAAACGGCAGGAATGTACTGTCTCGTACCTCTGTTACAACCATGGCAGATGCTGAGGCAGCTCAAAGAGGACAGAGCCACGGCAGGTGGACAGGCTCACATGCTCTCCCTAAACAACATCTCCTATCGCTGCTGCTGCTGCTATAGACAGAGCACCCCGCTGGTTGAAACAGCGCTCTGATCTAGGAGAGCATTCCTTCTGTTCCTCCTCAAAATTAAATCGATGGCATTTTTAGAAGGTTACACAAGTTTCCACAGGCCACAAGTCAATGAGTGAACTACTAAGATCTCACGGAAATTAAAGCTACTCATTTATCACTTATTTATTATTATTTTTCTGGTCTATGGTTGTCTCAAATTATTACTATCAGCAAAACAGAGCTAAACCAATGTCGCTTACTAGACTAGATTAAACCAAGAGACTATCTTTTTATACAACCATACCAACAGGAGGAAAAAAGGCATCAATATATGAAAAGCAGATTCATCTTTAAATTCACTTCCAAAAAAGTTTCCTAATACAAAATGAGATCCAAACACAGCAACCAAACTTCAGCGGATTTTTTTCCTGCACCTCCTCTCCTCTTCACCCCTCAGATAGCAGTAATCACAGAATCACAAGAAGCAAGCAGCACAGAGAATAAGCTGTATACAAATAGAAGTGGAGCTGCCACTTAGGTTCACTTCATTTCAAACCAAATCTGTGAGCTGTACCTCTGCATCCAAGGTGGCTGAAGCCACAATCAGTCGAAGATCCCCACGCTTCTTTTGAACCTAGGATAAAGATCAAGAACATGCAGAGTAAAAACCAGTTTCTGAGATTAAGACTAGAACCAAGTTTTAGAGCATCCAGATTACCAGTAACTTCTCTTTAAAACTACTTTGAGACTACGAGACAGCTGACAAACTGAAGCACCCAGATCACGCCATAGATCTAACAACCTGCTGACTGGAGATTTATATATTCATTTTAAGGGCGTTCAGTCTGTAATCATTATGGCTTACTCTTAATTTCTGGTGGGAGTCAGATCTTTAGTAGGTTGAAAGTTGACAACCCCCTATCAGATCACTTCACATGATCCTCAGCAGCAGAATGAACACCACCTTCTTGCTAATATCATCTAAGGAGACATTTCAGCATCAGGGAGAGGAAACAGAGGAACCTCAGTGTCAGGTGTCTAAAGTAAATAGTTGGGTATGTACAATAGGCTGTAAGATAAACAAGGAACTAGAAACCACCCTCTCTCATATGGTGGGTTCACTAATCAGCCACCAGGATCAGAGGTTTAACAAAAAGGATGAAAACGAAAACAGTTACAGAGAACACTAAAAATAATAACCTTTTTTAGTAAGCCAATGGCAATATCTGTATAAAGAGTCCTTTCATGGGCTTCATCCAGCATGAGGACACTGTGAACAAAGCAGAAAGGGAAGATTTCAGAAATTGTTTGATTAACGCTAGAATCAGTGTCTTCCTGTCTTCTAGAAGTACCATTATTTGAAATCTGCCGCTGGACTGTTACTGTTTACATCCACTTAGAAAACTGTAAGTTGAAAAAAGCGCAGCAACGAAGTAGGGAGAGAAACGTAGCTAACACCACAGGGCACATACACGCTGCTCTTTATTCAGGCTAGCTTTCGGAAAGGGGTAGAAGAAACATGGTCTACCTTTACTGTACTGCATAGTTTTCTGGATACCAGAATAGCCTGTGTTTGTTGTTGATTTTTTTTATTTGATTAGCATCAGAAAGAGAAAAGGAATTTAAAAGTAGTAAATGAAACACTTCAGACTCTGTGAGGCCCATTTAGCTTTTGTTCCAAAACCACAGCACCAAATCCAGCTGGGTTTGGTGTTCCAATGATCAACTGGTTTTCTAATAGTCTTTTAAACATAAAGATGTCAAAATCACACAATCATTTTCGGTCTTTTGGTACTTAATTTATAATACCACCTTGGTCTAAAAAAAAAAGCAGTTTACCAAATTACACTTCAGCAAGCATTCATTCCATCTTTCCTTACCTGTATCTTGTTAATAAAGGATCAGCCATCATCTCCCTCACCAGCATACCATCAGTTAGAAACTAAAAGGGAATGCAAAGTAAAATGTAAAAAACCACCTCTACCAGGTAGTCTTGATTACCCATGTGATTTTTAAAGACTCTTTGCTAGGCTTTTGCCTGAATTTTTCCTTGCCTTTTATTTTCTAATGATCTATTAAATTGATCAATTTTCAGCTATGGAAGCCAAATAGGTATTTCTGGGTGCTAACCCACAGATAAGGAGAGTGATTGCTTTTTAATCAGTATTGAAATTATTTTAATTAGGGATTTTTGTATTGAAAACAAGAAAAAAAAAACAACAGACGGGCACCACTGGAACGTGGCAATAGAAGTTTCTTTACTCTCTTCTGTAACACAGCTAAATCTGCTCTACCCATAACATCCTGTGTGTCAAGCCAGTCTGGACCCGCTCAAAGTAGGCTACTTTATCACACACTTCTGACCAGAACACAAATTTTAACATTTCAACAAAATGCAACATTTTAATTCAATGCTTTCTTCCTACTAGCCAGTGGAAACCCACCACCTTTATGTAGCCATCAAACAGTAGTTTGACCTGGGACTCCAACCGTGGCCTTGAACTAGGCAAGAACTGGTGTGCACGGTAAAAACCTCCAAATTTCCAACCCCAAATGATTAATCATCACACACACACAAAAAAAAAAAAAAAATCCAGCTGCATTTAATCATTTAATGAACAAACATCTCCCTGTCTTTCACTTTAAAAGGCTCAGGAAAAAAAAAATCAAAAATTAAATTGTCTCATTGCTATTCCAGCATAACTAGAGCAAACTCATCTGTACCAACACAAGCAACACTAATATTGCTCACAGCACTAAAGAAGAGCTGCAAAGCTTGCTATTTAATCCACATCAAACCACTCCCAGTTAGCCTATTCATCTCACGTTTTATCTGTGCTTTTCATCAAAAATCTATTTTTAGAGTAGTGAGGATACTTTAGCTGTGCTTCACTGCAGCCTTCGCTATGACTTTGGGCGAGGTACCAGGTCACACTAACACTGCGCCAATATCTGGCCATACCTGCCTTGAAAACCTCCTTTAGCTTTAAGATGGTGGCTGTCAGAGCAGCAGACTAGAATACATACTCATTTTATTAATGTTTGGACAGCCACAGCCATTTCAAGCGCACTTTTGGGGTACCCACCTGGAAAACTGAAATGCTATCTATTCTCTTTACTGGGCATCACAAGGTTCTCATTAGTTTTGCAAAAGCACTTGAAGAGGTTCAGCTAGCCCTTTCAAAGTGACCACATATACTGTTCATGTTTCACCTTAATTCTTGTAGCCTGTGGATCTGTGCAGTCATCAAACCGAATACAATATCCAACTTCATGCCCCAACACTGCACCTCTTTCATCAGCAACTCGGCCTGCAACCTGAGAAAAGAGATTCTTACAAAGAAGAGAAAGCTCACAGCACGCTTCTTCATTGCGTCACTATTTTGTCCATAGAAAACTGACATCAAAACAGGAACGGAGCTAGTGCTTCCAAAGAATTATTTGTTCTTGTTTAAAGACAAAATTCTGTCCAACATAACAGCGGTAAATACTTTAGAATGGTTTAGTGTAACTTAATAAATCTATTTCACGCTGCTCCTACTCAGGAAAGCTACAGAAGTACCTTTCTGTGCTAAGTACTCCAACAGACCTACAAAGGCAGCCATTCAGCCAGTCACAGCGCTAGGGAAGGACCACCCCCCAGCAATTGCCAGACTGCAATTTAAGGACACAGCTGGCATGCAAAAAGGGAAA